ACACACACACACACACACACACACACACACCCATGACACACACACACACAGACACACAGACACACACACACACACACACATGACAGACACACACACGGGGCCGTTCCCCGGCGCTCTGTGCGGCTGCGCGGCCCCGCCCCCGCCCCGCGGTCACGCGCTCGGCCATGGCGGCGCACCTGAGCTCGGGCCGGGTGAACCTGACGGCGCTGCGCGAGGCGGGGCGGCGCGAGCTGCGCGAGTTCCTGGACAAGTGCGCGGGCTCCAAGGTGGGCACGGCGGGGCCGGGGGGACAGCGGGGACGGGCGGGCTCCAGCCGTGCTGCGGCCGGTCTGACCCCGCCGTCCCTTCCCGCAGGCCATCGTGTGGGACGAGTACCTGACCGGTCCCTTCGGGCTCATCGCGCAGTACTCGCTGCTCAAGGTAAGCGCCGCGGGTGCCGGGGGCAGGCGGCCGGGCCCCGGCGCTCCCGCCCTCGGCTGACGGCCGGGCCTCCACGCAGGAGCATGAGGTGGAGAAGATGTTCACGCTCAAGCCGGGCCGGCTGCCCCCGGCCGACGTCAAGAACATCATCTTCTTCGTCAGGCCCAAGCTGGAGCTGATGGACATCATCACGGACAACGTGCTGAGGTACCGCGGGCGGGGCGGCCGTGAGGAGGGGACGGGTGTGGCCCGAATCACCGTGCGGTTCACACCTGTGCGGGGGCCGAGGAGCCATGTGCAGACACCAAACTGCAGCACGGCCACTCTGCGGCTTGAGCCGGGTGCGAGGAACCCTGGGCAGGGGGGCTTCACCTCGGCTGCGATGCAGAGGGTGCGTTCCTCCCTGCGAGGATGTACACTCTGATTAGCTGGAATGAGTCATGCTTGGGTTGCTGTGCCTTGTGGGAACTGCAGGACAGCCACGTCCCCCTGCCCTGGTGTCAGAGCTGTAGCTGCACAAGGCTGGACACCGACACTCAAAGTCCAGGAGTTGGCAATAAGCCAGTGCAGCGTTCCTGTTTTGTGTGGATCCAGTGCCCCCTGCCCGTGGGCTGTGCTGCTCCCATGTGCAGTGAGTGATCGTGTGCTGTGCTCCTGCTTCGACTTTTCCAGGGAAGACAGAGGCCGCTCTCCACAGAGGGATTTCCACATCCTGTTCGTGCCACGCCGCAGCCTCCTCTGCGAGCAGTGGCTGAAGGAGCAGGGCGTGCTGGGCTCCTTCATCCACCGCGAGCAGTACAGCCTGGACCTGATCCCCTTTGACGGAGACCTGCTCTCCATGGAGTCCGAGAGCGCCTTCAAGGTGCGCTCTCATCTCGTCCTCGAGGGAAAACGCGATGTGGTTTTGTGCTGGGTGTTGGTGCTGGTGCAGCAGCTCTCAGAGGGTTTGTGAGTGACCTGCACAGCAAGGAAAGGCTTTGCAGAGCAAACCTGGCTTGATCCTGAAGCCTGAACTTCCCCGTGTGTTTTCACACTAAATGCTGAAGGTACAGTCACTACACCGAGCTGCTGGTGTTACTGTCACAAATGGAGCATTCCTGAGGCTTAAAGCACTCAGTTGTCACAAGGAGTCACAGCCAGGGAGTGTGTGATGGTTCTCACTGCACTGAGCATTGACAGCTGTCACATCCCAGCTGTGTGTCCTGCGTTCCCAGAGTGCTGCATCCGAGGACAGGACAATTTGGGAGTTTCTTGGCCTTCTCTGTCCTATGTGTAACCCAGAGGATGTGTCAGAGCATGTACCTGTAATGAGGTGTTGGGTGCTCAGGCTGGCCTAATTAGCAGGAGAGAGTCCTTCCAATAATTTTCTTTTATTCCATCAAGCTGGATTTGCGTCTGGAGTTCAAAAATATTAGTGTCTGGTTATCAAAAAAATTATTTGATGTAGTGACAGCACAGATAATAAGGTCCATATATGCCAACAGCCATAGTTTGTCCTCAGCCTTTGTCTCCTCTGAACTGTTCCCATGGACCCTGCTGTGCTGTAGAGGTAGCTGTATTGGATTGACACCTTCCATCAGAACCCCTCTTGTTCTTTAGGAATGTTACCTGGAGAGTGACCAGACGAGTCTGTACCATGCAGCAAAGGGGCTGATGACGCTGCAGGCTCTCTACGGAACCATCCCGCAGATTTTTGGGAAGGGCGACTGTGCTCGGGTGAGGCTGAACAAATGCATCTTGTTCTATGGAGCTGCTTAAGGAGTGTTTGGTTAAATGCACCTCTGGGTTATTTTAATCCAGCCATGACACACACACATCCTTTTTGCTTCTCTCTGATCAGCCTGTGGTTTAATTGGTATTTCTTGTGGTGAGGGAGCAGCTTGAGGTGCAAGCAGTGCTTTGGCCATCACTGTCTTGCTGAGCTGCAGAGAGCAGCAGAGAAGGACTTTTGTTTTCTCAGTCTCATCCTGCCCCATCCATCAGGCAGTCTGTACCTCCTGCCATCCCCTTCCTTTACAAGCATGTGCCTGCAGGGCCCAGAGGTCACATCCATCTGTTGTGGCCTGTACCATAACCAGAGCAATGTGATTTCCTTGCAGCACGTGGCCAACATGATGATCAGGATGAAGCGCGAGTTCCCTGGGAGCCAGAATTCCATATTTCCCGTCTTCGATACCCTCCTGTTGCTGGACCGCAACGTGGACCTGCTGACCCCGCTGGCCACGCAGCTGACGTACGAGGGGCTGATAGATGAGATCTATGGGATTCAGAACAGTGAGTCCTGCGGGGAGGGGACAGGTTTCCTGTGTCCTGGGGCAGATTGCAGTGTGTTGGGTGGGTTTGTGCTTCACTAAATGTGGTGTGGGAGCAGCTCAGCTGAAATCAATGTGGGGTTTGTTCAGTCCCAAGCTGGAGCCAATCAAGATCCACTCTGGCTCTTTTTGGCTGGGAAGGAGAGCCAGGTACAGTCTGTGGTTACTGAAGGGGCAACTTTTGGCTGTTGGCTGGGTGCAGGCACAGTGACACAGCAGGGGGTGTGTGAGTGGGAATGTTGTGTGTGCCTTCAGTATCCGTCCTGCCTGGGTCACTGAGGGGACAGGGACAATTTGTAAAATGCCATTTTCAGAATGATGTCATGCTTTTCAGGGGATAAGAAAACTCTAGAGAGGCATTTATGGGCTGTAATCCCTCCTGTTGGACTGAACTGGGCTGGCTGCTGGGCTGCCTCCAAACCTCTCTGAAAGCAGGGCAGCTGGCACTTGGGTTCTGGTGTTTGTGTAGGTCCTTGGCTCAGTGCAGGGAAACTCTCCTTAATTAACACACAGCCACTGAGTGGTTTGAGTAGTGTCAATACTGCTTTGCTACTCAGAGCTGTTTCCACAGCCTGCT